CCATATTTGCCGCCCCTCCTCTGGGGCCTCTCACCCCTTGGATTTAGTCTGACCCAGCCCTACCTGTTGCAGGCATTGGGGGGGGGGGTGAGCCAGCAGATGCGAGTTCTTTGTCTGTCTCCCTCTCAAGTAAATAAAATAAAAAGAAGTGCAGATTGAACAAGTAAGCTTCCCTGTGTCCTTGGGGTGAGGGCCAGGCTCCCTGGCATCCCTTGGAGGCCTCTGGGGTGAGGCTGTGCAGGTCCCCCTGCTCCACCCTCACCTGGGGCACCCACTGGGAAACCCGGGCCTCACTGGCTCAAGGCTAAGGGCCAGGGACTTCAGGCTGGGCTTGCTCCAGGAGCCCCAGCTCAACCTCCTCCACACATGGGCCCAGTCTCCAGCTGGTGTAGCGGTGGCAGCCACAGGTGCCTGCCTCCTTGTCTTCCTGTGCCTGCATCAGAGTCAAGGAAGCCTTCCCAGAAGCCCCAGCAGGTAGCGACAGGGGCCATGGCCAAGGCTGCCCCCAGAGTGACCGGCAGCCAGGGATCTGGGAAGCCCCTGGGGTGAGTCCCAGGCCCCCCCCCCGCCCCTGCCTCCTGCCTTAGGGCGCGTGGACAGCCGCGAGGGAATCCTGGGGCAGCTCATAAGGAACAGCCTGTCTCTGGCTGGCCTGCACCGTCAGAAGATGCTCCGGGGCACCTGAACCCCACACGGCAGGGGCTGCCTGCTGCCTAAAGCCTTCCATAGCTCCCCATTGCCCTGAGCGCATTCAGAGCCTCTCCCGGGTTTCACTGCCCCACCACCCTCTCCAGCCCTGCACGCAGCCACGCCCACTGGAGGAGGGGCATCAGTTTCTCTAGGAGCACCTAGACCCCAGAATGCGCTGTGGCTGGGGCTGCCCCTGCCCTGGGGGGAGTTCGGCAGCACCCTCAGCACCCCCAAAGTGCCCCTCCCCCTGCTCCTCTTGGCACAGCCAGCATCTGTGGAGGAGTGGTCCCTGGAGGCAGGACCATGGGGCTGAGAACCGCTTTCCTGTGGCCCCACGTCCCCTCCTCCATCCCCTCCCCTGCCCTCGTCCATCACTGCTGGGCCCCCTTCCCTCTGAACAAGGATCCCTCTGCCTGCTGGGGTGCAGCCTCCCTGGGCACCCCAGGGGGCCGGCCGGGCAGGTGCTTAGATGGGAAGTGGATTCCCAGAGGGGCGAGTGGCGGTGCTTTGGCCGTTGCAGCCATTTGGAGAGTGAACCAGCAGATGGAAGACGTCTCTCTCTCTCTCTTTCTCTCTCTCTCTCTGTCTCCACCTCTCTCTATAATTTTTTCAAATAAATAAAATAAATCTTAAAAAAAAAGTTTCTCTCTGCACATTTTGCAACAGGACATTGGACTGCCCCGGATCCCTAACCCTCCCTCACGTCTGTGTGAGCTCTACCGTTTGCTCTCCCCTCACCGGAAAGAACACCTGGCTGGGTTTTCTCCATGCTCTGTCCTGCCGCAGGACTTTTGCACATGCTGCTGCCTCAGTGGAATTGTTCTTCTCTCCGCTGTTTAATATTTTTCCTCCTTTAGATTTCAGCCTAATCATTCTCTCTTTTCCTCGGCCCCTTTCCTAGGTCCTGCTGACACTCATCACATTGGGGTGTCACTTTTATTTATGATTAATTACTATCTGTCTCCCACATAGACTGGCAGCTCTTTAAAAAAATCCACATATTGATTTTCTTTGACAGACAGGCAGAGGCGAGACCCCATTGCTGGTTCACTCCTCACCTGCCTTCAACAATCAGGGCTGGGACAGGCTGGAGCCGGGCTCCCAGAGCTCAACCCAGGTCTCCCACGTGGGGGCAGGGACCCGACTACTTGAGCTGTCACCTGCACCTGCCAGGCTGTGCAACACCAGGAAGCTGGACCCGGGACTCGAGCCAGGCACTCTGACACAGGAGGAAGGTGTCCCGAGCGGTGTCGTAACCACTGTGGCAAACACCTGGCCCAGATGTCAGCCCCTGGAGGACAGGGTCTGGGCTTGCTTCCCGTGGACCCCAGAAAGCTGCACCGGGTCCGAGGCACGCACAGCAGGTGCTGGATAAATCCCGCGGGGGAGGAGAGGCAGCACTGCCCCTGCTAATCCCAGCGGCCCCGTCTCTGCCCGGCCCATTTAGACCTCTCGATTCTTCTCGCTCCCCACACTATGTCTCCCACCACATCGACGTGATCGGGGTCTCGACTTCTGCTGCTTTCCCTGTTCCTCGTACCCACTCCCTCAGCCCCCTCATTTGCACTGAAACTGTTTTTAAAATTCAAGCTTGCAAAAAGTATTCAAAAATTTCACGGAAAAAGCTATGCATTTAAACTATTTTGTGCACCAAAATAAGTCTGACTTTTAATTGCATTTTCCGTGATCTGTTTGAAGTATTTGGCACATTACGCAGCTTTGAAACATGCACACTCTGTTCTGTGACTGTCGTTCTTCTGTGCTTTGAAATCGGCTGGTTCTACACAAATTTAAACCAAACCCAGCGTTTTTAATCCTAGGATTATTTATTTAACTATGAAGATGATTTAACTGCGCATCAGTGCAGTCACAGAAATCAGACCTGAGGCTGCGGTGAAGGAGGCAGTGCATAATTCTTAACAAATTTATAGTTTTTAAAAAAGTTTTGTTTATTTGAAAGGCAGAGTGATAGAGAGAGACAGAGACAGACAGAGATCTTTTATCTACTGGTTCACTCTGCAAACGGCTGCAACAGCCAAAGCCAGGCACTTGGAGCTCCGTCTGGGTCTCCCACACAGGTGCAGGGGCCCAAGCACTCTGGCCATCCTCTGCTGCTTTCCCGGGTGCATCAGCAGGGAGCTGAACAGGACTCACAATGGCGCTCCGCCGTGGACGCAGACGTCACGCACAGCGGCCGAGCGCACGGTGCTGCAGCGCCGGCCCCAGATCCCGGGTGTCTTGAGTTGCTCTCTCTTCGGTACTAGGATCCCCCGCTCCCTGGTTACAGCGTTTGTGAAAGAGGAATGTGCTGTTCCTCCTGGAGGCACTCTTTCCGGAACCTTCTATAGTCCTGACTGGGTCAGCATCGGCCGCTCTCCAGGTGTCTGCCTGGTCCTCCTGCGACTTTTCTCCTCGTGGCCTCCTGGGTTTGGTGTGCAGCCGCTCAGCCCCTGGGCTAAGCCATGCTCTTTCCTGGACTTGCTTCTGGTTGTGCTGGAGACACATCCTTTGGTGTCTCTCTCAGGGCAGTCTGCGGATGGTCACTGGCCTTACCCCTCGCAGGGGACCCACAGGCTGACGGGAGAACCCGGCTGGGCGCCTTCTGTAAGGTGTCCGGCGCGTAACAAATCTTCCCAGGCAGACGAATCAATTAATTCAAAGGCTTTTATTGGGGTTCCGCTCCCGGGTGAGGTTCCCTGGTCCCAACAGAGCAACAGAGCGGGGGCCAGGGAAGTCGCCTGTCAGAGGTTGGGAGGGCTCCTTTTATAGATTCAGAGCATGGGAGTTAAAGGTTGAGGCGGGTCTGATCCTCACTGGTTGACCTTTAGGCACCCGCAGGGACCTTGACAAGGACTTTCTTCCCTGGAAGTACAGGTAGGGACTTTCCATTCCCGGAAGTGTAGGCCTTCCTCCTTGCGGATCCCAAAGCTACCATCCCGACCTTTTGATGGTAGGAAAGGAGGCGACAGTGAGTCTCTGGCTACTTCCTGCTGACTGGGGACGTGGTCTACAGGGGCCCACTGCAGGTATCTTGGGGCTCCGCAGGGACAGGCATGTATGGATGGAGAAGCATCTGGTTGACCGCCTGGTTGCTGAAGGCCTTGGTTTGGCACAAGTTCCGCTCTGGCAGCTTTTAGGATTTCTCTGCATCTTTGGAGTTCTGAAATTCTTCCACAACACGAAATTTCACCTAGGAAGTGAGCTTTTCCCACGCGACATTTGGTATCGATCTCCAACGTGAGCACTCCAGTCTTCTTTTAGCCCAGAGAAATTACTTCTGTTATTACTCTGTCTCCCCCATTTCCACTGGTTTTTCACCCAAGAACTCTTAGAAAACGAGCCCCTTCATCTGATTGTCCCGTTCTTTCTGGAATGGCGACTCTTCAGTTTCCAAGAAAGCTGTGTTTTCTGACTGGTTCTGGTGCCGCCTGATTCTTCTCCCACGCAGAGGAGCCTCGAGGAGCAGGTGACAGTGAGGTTCTGGGGAGCCTGGCCCTGGGGGCTCTGCACTGAGCGTGGGGTCTTCCCAGTGTCTGAGCCAGAGGCCTGCGTGGCAGAGGCAGAGCTGTGGGCCCTGAAGACCACCTCCCAGGGCACTGACCAGCAGTGAGATCTTGGCTTCGGGGGCTGGCATGGTGGCACAGCAGGCTAAGCGTCTGCCTGTGATGCCGGCATCCCATATGGGCACTGGTTTGAGACCCGGCTGCTCCACTTCCGATCCAGCTCTCTGCTAGGGCCCGAGAAAGCAGTAGAAGATGGCCCGAGTGCTTAAGCCCCTACACCCACGTGGGAGACCCAGAAGAAGCTCCTGGCTTCTGGCTTCAGACTGGCCCAGCTGCAGCCATCCAGGGGGTGAGCCAGTTGATGGAAGACCTCTCTCTCTCCTCCTCCTTCTCTCTCTGTACTGCCTTCTAAGCAAACAAGTAAATCTTTAAAGAAAAATAAAATAGGCTCCTGGGGCCTCAGCTTTGGCACCTGCCCATGGGAGGAGATGACTGGAGACGACTGGAACCCTTGCTCTCAGGCTGATGGGGAGGAGGAGGCAGGGCTCCCGGCCGGCTCCTGGGTCTGCACTTTGGGCACAAGTGTGCGTCACTGCACAAAGCCCGCCCGTGTGCCGCTGCCTCTCACCAGGGCCATCGCCTCTGCTCTTCCGCACCCGGGGGCCGAGTGCATGGACAGGGCCGAGCGCATGGACCAGGCTGAGTCGCCTCCGGGCGGCTTCCCCTGCCTGCTCACATCCGGGCAGTCAGGACTGCATGGGGCTTGAGCTGCATGGACGCCATCCCGCAGGGCCCTCCTCACCCCCCATAGCCCAGGTCCCAGGGCAGGTGCGGATAGCACCCCTGTGCCTGGGCCCCCTCGCCCCGGCGCTCTGGGCATACCCTGATTTTAACGCTCTCCCTGGGGTTAACCACGCTGGTGTGTGTGTGGTCTTTCCTGCTTCTCGCGGGCGGGAGCGGGATTGTGCGTGGCTGCGGACCCAGAGCCTCGTGCTCGGGGCGGAAGAATGGCTGAACAAACGAATGAGAGCCCGAGCAAATGGGCAGGTGGACGCCCGGCAACCGCGGCTGACAGCGAGCGGCGCAGTGAGGGAGCGGACCCGGCCACGAGCGAGGGGTGCCGGAGCGGATGGATGCGTCAGCCGCTGGGAGCGCGGACGCACTCGCCGCAGCCAGCGGCAGAGGGAAGGGAGGAAGCCGCCCCCTCAGAGGGCAGGGGTCGGCTCCCTCCTCCTCCGCAGCCCCTGGAAGTTCCGGGCTGGGGTCGAGGGAGCCAGCGTGAGTCACCGGATGCAGCGAGCGCCAGCAGATGTCACCGCGCGCGGCAGGGTGGGTGCCGGGAAACCATGGCAACCAAGCCCCCTCTCCCGCTGAGGCGCCCAGGGACACGGGAGAATCCCCGTGCTTGTGTGTGGGAAACTTGAGGCCCGAGGTGCGGCTCCGACCTCTCTCTCCCGCCCCTTTCTGTCGGATTCTTTCCCATCAAACCCTCCCACGGTCTCTGAAACCATGCGCATCTGAGAATCCACGCAGGGGCCCAGCAGTGCCCTCTCTGAGCCCCGGTTTTCATTCACTGATGCCGAGACGACCCCTGGCCACACAGCGCTGATGAGATGATGGATCGCAGGTATTTTGCGCATGCAGTGTTCCGAAATGTTCCTATTTTTGGCTCCACCCACTCCTCACGCCCTCCACCACTCTACCAGCAGCACTCATGAGCCGGGCGCTGCAGGACAGCACCTGCCGGGGGCTCCTGGCCCGGCGAGGGGCCCCTGCCAGCAGGCGGAGTCTCTTAGTCCTCTCTGCTTCTTCCTGCTCCTCCCCCAGAGGGCGCATCTCATCCCACAGTGCCTGGCCACGTGCTACGCAGTGGAGCCAACAAGAGAAGGATCCAGCAGCGGGGCCTGCCCTCTGGTAGCTCCCAGCGAGGGGAGAGGCAGCCACACCGGGGAGGAGGTGACACAAAGCCCTCCGGCTGCCACGGTGCCTCCACAGGCCCCAGAGGGGACGGGGTGGGGAACTCCACTCTGGGGTGGGAGAGGCCACGCAGAGTTGGGGAGGGGTCCCAGAGGGCAAGCCAGGGCAGGCAGGAAGTGCTGAGGTGCCCCCGTGAGTGATGGGGAAGACAAGGAATGAGCATTGAGGAGCACCGAGGGAGAACTGGGCAGACTGCGGAGCGAGGATGCGCCCGGACCTCACAGGCCACAGCTCGCTGCCAGTGCTGCCCGGTCATCGCTGCCGAGTTTCACCGTGGGGACGCCAGCGGTGACAGCGGGGCTCACCCGTCCTTCACCGCACCTGCCGTGACCCACACGTCGCACGGTCAGCCTGCACTTGGCTTCATCCGCAGCCACGGCAGAGTCCCTCCCGTCTCTGTGCCTCAGAGAAATGAAGGCACCTGCAGCAGCCAACGCAGGTCTGGGCGACCACAAAGCTGTGTTCTCCACAGGAGAGGGGCCCGGGGTCCCAGGTGAGGCCTCTGGGCATCGTGAGGCCTGGGGAGCGAGTGGACAGGGGCCATGGGGGAGGGGACGTCCCTGGTCTGCTCCCACACTCTGCAGAGTCCCCCCCCCCCCACGGCTCCGCTTTCCCTGACGGTCCCACTGTCCTCTGTGTTTCTCCTACAATGATTCCTAACATCAGGCTTGGGTGATACGCGCTGCGGTCACTCTGTGTTCGCCCAAGGCCAGGGGCACCTGCTGTGGTTCGAGCGTCCCCAACAAAGTGCATGGTGAAATTTAATCCCCGTGGGAGGTCTGAAGAGGTAGGCCAGGGATGGGGGGCTTTAGGAGGTGAATGGGGTGGGCGCGCTTCCCTCATGGGTGGATGGGTGGGTTCCCGGTTGTCTCAGGCTCTGCTGTGGGAGCCGCGGGGCTCTGTGCTGTGCTCCCCTCTCACCGCAGGACAGCCTGCTCCAGAGCCCCCGCCAGCAAGGAGCCGGGCACCTGCAAGTCCTCCACCTCACAAGCCCAGCTTCCAGGGCTGGGGGCAGAAGGAGCTTCCTGCTTTATGAATGGCTCGGGCTCTGGCATTCAGGCCAAGACTGCACCACGGCTGGTGGGGGGGACTGCCAGCCTGTGCCCTGGAACAGCCGGGGGACAGCCGGGGGACAGCTAAGGACAGCCGGAAAGGCCCAAGGCGGGAGATGCGGGACTCCAGTCAGACACGCAGACAGGTGCAAGTTGGACTCCCCTTGGAAACACCAAAAGGATGCTCGGTCTCTCTCTCCTTGAACCCCACGTCTCACAACCCAGCCACGTGAGCTGATGGATTTCCAGGCTCCCACAGAGGAAGGGCCCCGGCCACTGTCCCTGTGCTTTGGCCTCCTGGACGTAGCCAGGTGTCAGGAGGAAGAAGACATTTCTAAGACTACAGAAGCTGGGCTGGTGGATGGCGTGGATGGCTGTGGATGGCCGTGGATGGCCGTGGATGGCTGTGGATGGCTGTGGATGGCCATGGATGGGCCATGGATGGCCGTGGATGGCCGTGGATGGCCGTGGATGGCTGTGGATGGCCATGGACGGGCCGTGATGGCTGTGGATGGGCGTGGATGGGTGTAGATGTGCCATGGATGGGCCGTGAATGGGCCGTGGATGGCCGTGGATGGCCGTGGATGGCCTTGGATGGCCTTGGATGGGCCATGGATGGCTGTGGATGGCTGTGGGTGGCTGAGGATGGCTGTAAGACTCAGGATCTAATGTCACCTGCTGAGGGCTCGGGCAGCAGGGGTGAAAGGACCTCCCCTCTCCCTAACCTGGGGGCCAGCAGCAGCAGAGTGGAGTCGGGTGTTGTGGGGTGGTGTGAAGGGAGCCCCTGGCTATTTCCGTGACATGTGGGGCAACTGACCCCGCCTCTGCAGCCAGGTGCCCCCTGGGGAGGGATTGGGATGGGGACACTTCCCCGAATCTGACCATCACCCTCGTGAGGGGTGGTCTTAGCCAAAAGAAATTTATTTCCTACCCCTGGCCAGAGAGGCCTCCAGCGAGACGGAGGTGGTCTTGGGAAATAAAGCGCGCTACAGCCCCTCGACCTGTGCCGTCCCGTGCTCACGTCTCCCCCCAAGTGCAAGGCCCATGTTTGATGCCCAGCTCTGCCACTGACAGCGGTGCCACCCTGGTCACGTCGTGAGTCCCGATCTCTGAACTGGAGCTCAGTGGAACCTCGTGGGGCACCTGCTCATTCAGGTGTGTGCTTCTCAGATCCTTATCACCTGCCATCCTCCATGTTACCACCTGGCCAGTCCCCTCCCCCGCCCCGCTCCCTCCTGCACCTCACACTCCTCTGCCTGGGGGCCCAACTCCAGCCCGCAGCCGCAGGGGCCTGCCAGGGCGGCTGTCGCATGGCAGTTGCTAACAGCGGTGCTGGCCAGACCCCACCACCACCACCACCAAGCCCTCACACTGGGATCTGGGTTTTGTAGGCGACCGCTGATCTGAGAGTTCTCCCTCTGTGTGTATTTCACTCACACTCCAACGGGCCCAAAGCAAGCTGGACGCATAAATCGCTCAAAGAAAATTGTAGGTTGAAAATACTCACGGGACGTGATGCTGAGCCCTGGCCGGGGTGGGGGGAGGAGGGGGCTGCAGGGCTGGGGCAAGAGGCGTCCCAGTCCACTGTCCACCTCCCCCGACTCAGCCTGCTGTGACCCTGAAGGAGCACAGAGGTGTTTCAAAGGCTGACACTGGGTCTCCCCTCTCCCCGCACCCCTGCAGCTGGCACACACACACACACACACACACACATGCATGTGCAAATGGACACGTGCATGTGCACACTCCAGCCCGAGGGACAAGGGATCCACTACGGTGGAGCTGGGTGCAGAGACCGGAGGAGGGGACAGGACAAGGCTGGGGAGGGCCTCACTGAGGGACAGGGCAGGGTCTGAGCTGTGAGGGGCACACCGCATCCTGGCTGCCCCGGCAGGTGAGGCCGTTCTGCCTAGGACGGTTCATCTCCTGGCGCTGAGCCCAAGGTTGGAGCTCAGTAAGGGCTCGGGGATGTTTGTTGAATGAGAAAATGTCAACAGTTCCATTTCTTCTGGAAACCAAGACCCACAGGGTCCCCGGGTTGGCCACGTAGAGAACCAGGGGCTGCGAACAGCCTGCTGGGAACCCAAGGCTCATGTTGGCTGAGAAGTGGCAGTCAGGGCTCAGGCAGCGAAGGAGCTGGAAGGTCATGTCTGCGGGTCATTGGAGTGGGCTGGGAAGCGCCATTCCCGAGAACCTGTGCCACGCGTGGGCCAAGTCTCTCTCTGGAGCTATGGCTGGTTTGGAGAGTCCGGTCCCGGCGGGTGGCCCCGGCCAATGTAACAAAGGGTGAGGGCCAGCAGGTGGCGCTGTGACACGCCCCTGCGGACCCGGAGGTGACCTGGCTGGAGCGCAGGACCTGCGGGAGGGGAGCACTCCCGTTCCCCAGGCCGATGCTGGTTCTCCACACGGCTGCCCTGAGCGAGGCCCGAGCCCTGTGAACCAGGCCCAGCTGCAGCCCGCGTTCCCTCTGCGGGCGGACGTGGACTGGACGGACGTTCCCCGGGGGCTGCACGGCTGGACACGCACAGCCACACCCTGCTTAGCCTGCCCTGTGCAAAGACCTGGGGAAGGCAGGGGCGAAACAGGAGGGCGCCTACTCGTCCCAAGGCTGCCTGCTGGGAGGAAAGCAGACCGCTCGCCCTCAGACGCCAGACTTGGCGCCCCTGTGCTCGCCGTGCCCTGCCGCGGCCACCGGGTGCCACCCGGAAGTCACTTGTGGGGTCAGAAGCCAGGGTCCCCCAGACTCTGCCACAAGGCACGAGCCTCAGAGGAGACCACAGAGTGGGAAGATGTGGCACAGAGGCGGCCAACTCCCGTGACGGTAAAGCATGCAACGGATGGGCAGCAGCCCGCGGTCCTGACAGCAGCCTCGCTTCCGGCGTCATCGCTTCCGGTGTCGGCACTTCCGGCATCGTCACTTCCGGCGGCGCCATTTCCCATTGCCCTCGCCTAGTAATGGTGACCCCAGGCTGATAGTGGTCCTGGGCAGGCGCCCACCGTGCCGCCCCCCGCCCGGGCTGGCTCCCGGGGCGTGTCCCCGACACGTCTCCCGGCTCAGGCCTGGGGATGGGTCCGAGGCTCGCTCAGCCTGGCTGCACGGTTGCCGATGGGGGCGCAAAGGCCGCAGACTGAGGGGTCCTCCCGGTCAGACCACGGGAGGAGGGTGTCTGCTGCCCCAGGGGTGACCCACGTGCGGCTTCCGCGGGAGACAAAGCCCGCAGCCTTTCCACCTTGAGGACAGACTATTTCCAAGCCATCTTAATATTTGTTTTTATTTGAAAGGCAGAGAGTCAGTGACAGACAGATCTTCTGCCCGCTGGCTCGCTCCCCAAATGTCCACACGAGCTGGGGCTGTGCCAGGCGCGAGCCAGAAGCCAGGAACTCAGTCTGGTGCTCCCACATGGGTGGCACGGACCCAGTTGCTGGAGCCACCACCTGCCGCCTCCCGGGATGCACAGTAGCAGGAAGCCGAAGCCGGGGGCGGAGCCAGAACCCACGCGCTCGCTGACAGCGATGCGCGCGTCCCCATGGCCTCTTCACCGCTCTGCCAGACGCCCACCGCAAGCCCTGCTTCAGAGATTCTGAAATGCATATTTATGATCTGCAGTAGCAGCTAGAAACACCAACTGTCGGGAGAGATCAATGGGGACTGAATCACTCCGGGGGGAGTGGAAGTAGATGACAAAGTCATCTTGTTGGATTCTGGGGTTTTGACAAGTGGAGCGCTGGTCCCTGTGGCCAGCGACACGGATTCTGAATGCCCTAAGGAGCCGCCCCGGCGGGGCGCCTGTCCACACACATGGTGGGAGCTCCTTGTCTGGATGGCGGGAGCCGCTGCCTGACTCACGCATGGTTCTTCCTTCTGCACCTGAACTGGAGGTGCAGCCCGCGCCGGCCCTGCAGGCTCTCCCCAGCTCGTGCAAGGGCCATGGGGGGCCCTCTGCAGGGGGATGTGGGGGTGCTGGGGGGCTCGGGGCAGCTGGCTCAGAGCCTCCGACATTGTCCTTCTTAGTAGCTGGACTCACACTTATCATACAAATTAACCTCACTCCTGCAGGAGCAAATAAAACTGAATTCAACCACACGAGGACCACGGGCTGTCATGAGTACTTTGGAGGGGACATCCGGGCATGTACGGCTCACATAGAGGGTGCAGACGATACGCGTGGTCTGAGAGACGGGAGGGGCCGGGAGGGTGAAGCTGAGGGCCGCGGGGAGCCCCCGCCTTGCCGGACTCCTGTGTCCCCGCTACACCCTCTAGGGCGCGGGTTCCTGTCCCCGCCTTCACATGCAGGAATTCTCCAGAGTCCTGGCAAGATTGAGATTCACACCTAGAAGCTTCTCTCCCACAAGGAGACGGCTTCATGGGGAAACCTCTAAAGGGACCCCGGTGGGAGGGGCAGCTCTTGCCCCTCTCGGCTCCCCCTGGGGAGGAGCGGGTGGCCAGGGCTGGCTTTGCAGGTGCCTAGGGCCTCACCAGCCGGCGGTGCTTGGTGCCGGCCTCTGTGCCGCAGACAGAGCTCTCGGCACGCAGCGGCTCCTCCATCAAACCTCAAGTTGGGCAGACGACGTCCTTAAAGGTTGTTTTCTCAGTGATTTCCCTGGCTGTGGAGCAAACCTCATTAGTAATTAGTTTGCCGCTGGGCGAGCGGGAGAGAGGACAATGCCCGCAGCCAGCCTCACCAGCTTCTCCTGCAAAAGCAAACACACACACCCCCCCCGGGAGGGGGTGCTGCCTGCGCCGTTTTACATCCCAGAGCCCAGCTCACACTCTCTGCCCACTCTCTGGGGCCCAGCACGTGAGCCTCTTGGGGAGTCCCCTCCCCTCATCTGTTGAATGACGAGGGGATACTGGTTAGGAGGCTGCGGCAGCACCTCTCGTGGCTGCCGCGGTGTCCGGAGCCAGGCCGTGGCGGACAGTGGCAAGGGCAGAGGGGAATCTAGCTGAATGCAGACCAAGAACTTTGCGGAGGGTGGGGTGCGGCCCAGGCCTCAGTCGGAGACGGGACAGAGAGACACGGGGCAGGAATCAGCTTGCTGTGCTGAGCAGAGCTGGGGTGGAAGACGCAGGGGATTCTGCTGGTGTTGGGTTGTTGAAGAAGGCAGTTCCGTGTGCCTGGGTGTGGACAGCAGATGAGGGCCGGGGAGGCACGACAGAGCCTGTCCTGGCTGGGAGGGTCCAGTGGCCCAGGGAAGTGACAAGAGAAGTGACATGGGACTCCGGCAGAGTGGAACAAGACATGGAAGGGTGGGCGGGAGGATGGGGATTTGTGCTGTCCCTGGTCTTGGCGTCAGCTCACCCTGGGACTCTGGGGACTCTGCTGCCCCCTGGCTCCAGCTGCCGGCGCAGGCTCTCAGTGAGCCCCTCGTCCTTCCTCAGTGGCATGGCTGGGCCTCGTGATGTTTCAGACAATGGGGGGCCTGGGCAGAAGGTGGCCAGGGCAGGGTCTCCCCAAGTCCTTGCTACCTGTCCTCTAGATGGTAGAGTGGAAGCAGCCACATTCTCTGAGGAAGCTGGGGTGCAGGAGAGACACCCACGTCACACCGGCATGGTTGCCACACATGAGCTTCCCTGGAGCAAGCGCACCACAGGCAAAGGTGGCCAGCCGGAAAGGACACCGACTGTTTGATGTGTTTAGGCAAACACGCCACACGACATGCCACACGACATGCCAGCTGGAAGTCATCTCTCATGGACTCCTCCGCTGCTCCTGCCTTGCCTGGGTCCATGGCTTCCGTGGAAGCAGGCACAGCTTGCCAAGGCCAGGGAAGCCTCTGTGTGGTCCCCAGATTGCCTCTTTCCTGAACACACACAGCTTTGAACTTGACCAAGCCAAAAGGAAAAAAATCATGATCACACTGTAATAGGAGATTATAACGTGGAATGACCAGGCCTCTTCAAATCTCCAGGCTGGACACTGGACCAGTGCTCAACCCTGAATAGCTCATGAAGCCCACTCGCCTGTGCCCAGCTCACCAGCACTCCTTAAATAGCACTGGGCTGGATGGATGTGTGGTCGGACAGTTGGGTGGGTGGGTGGTGTGTAGGTGGGTAGATGAGGGGATGGGCGAATGAATGGGCAGGTGGGTGGATAGATGGGTGGGTGATGGGCGGGTGGGTGGATGAATGAGTGAATGGATGGATTGTTGGGTAGGTGGGTGAGTAGATGGGTAGATGGATGGGTGGTGTGTAGGTGAGTGATATGGATGGGTGCTTGGGTGGATGGATGGTGGGGTGGGAAGATGGATGGGTGGATGGATGGTGGGGTGGGTGGGTGGTGTGTAGGTGGGTAGATGAAGGGATGGGTGAATGAATGGGCAGGTGGGTAGATGGATGGGTGGGTGATGGGTGGATGGATGGTTGGGTGGGTGAGTGGGAGGGTGGATGGATGGATGAATAGATGGATTGTTGGGTAGGTGGGTCAGTAGATGGGTAGATGGATGGGTGGGGTGTAGGTGGGTGATATGGACGGGTGCCTGGGTGGATGGATGGATGGGCACACGGATGAGTGAGTGGCTAATGGATACATGATATGCCCAGTCTTTTCTTTGATATCTAATTCTCTGAGATCTCTGAGCCCTGCCGGCCTGTTCAGAAAGTTTGGGGAAAGGCAGTTCTGAGGTCGCGTGCATCTCCCTGCCTCTTTGAATCCCCCCGGTGTTCTGTCCCACTAAGGCCTCCCCGGGAGCAGCCCTCTCCCCTCCACCTCCCCCTTCACGGATCAGACCAACGATGGCTGATCTTTCAGAATAACCTGACAGCTGGGCTCCTGCTCCCCAAACTAGACATGGGCTCCTGTCCTGCTTTCCCTGTTTCCCCACAGCTCTTGGCCGGTGGGCGTGAGTGAGAGGTGCAGAGAGGGGCTTCCGTCACACGGGGAACAGAGAGGAGCCCAGCACCCACTGCCCCCAGTCAGCTGCTCCAGGCTGTGTACCCCCAGGGCCCCACCTGCTGGGCCAGGAAGCAGAACCCCAGCTGCTGTCCCAGGAGATGGGCAGTGCCCGGGCCTCAGCCGTGTCCCCTCTGCCGGCTCCTCTGGGAGGCGGTGCTGGGAGGTCGGTGTGGCTCCTGGCTGGGTGGGGCTCACTCTGGCTCTGGCTGGGAGGCCGCCAGGCCATTCAGGGTACCCAGTGCCGGCTGTGGATTGCAGCCGCTTGGGGCTGCCCAGGCGCCTTTCTGTGGCACTCACTCCTGACGACCACCTGGAGACCTCCCGCCCTGGAGGAGGCAAAGGTGGATCTGCCCCCAACACACGGGCTGCGGCTGGGGGTTCTGAGGTCCAGGCATGGGACGTGGCCTCACTGGGACCACGCAACCAGACAGCCAGAGTCAGGGTTCAAAGCCGGGGTGACGCCAGTGCCTGGCAGCTCCCTGTAACCGCCACACGGTGCTTTACTGTCTTTGCAGCTGCCCCGCCTGGGACCCGCCCACTGAACACCTGCTCCAGGGCCCGGAAGGGAAGCCACTTGGGGACAAGCCCTGTGTTCTTGGTTTTTGGTTGGGAAATGAGGCACAGTCCCAGTGCAGTCCCAGTGCCCAGCTTCCGAGGAGCCCACTCGGGTCCAGGGGGAGGGGGCAGGCAGCACACAAAGAGTGGGGGTCCCGGGAGGTGGGAGCTGCACCCCAGGTGCTGAGAGCAGGGGAAGGGAGTAGGCCTGAAGCATGGGGTGCCGGGGGCCCACACCTCTGGGAGGTACAGCCAGCTCCTGGCCTGCACCCCACCTCTGAGCGGTTGTCCTAGGGACCCCCGGCTCCCGGGAAGGTCAGCACTTTCCCCTGCAGCTCTCCTCCGGGAGGGTGGCTCCTGGGCCAGGCTGTGCCCTGGGACACCAGGCTGAGGCAGGGCCACTGGCTGTGCAGGGAGCTCAAGGCTGAGCCCGGCACTGTGCTTCCGGCCTCTCCGCCAGGCTGGGGGGCGGGGGGGGGCATCTAGCTGTAGCTTGTTTGCTCAGGAACCACGGCAGCTCTTGCTCAGCCCAGAGGGCTAGGACTGCGGTACAGCGAATCCCTGGCCACAGCTTGCCCCAGGCTGCTGAGGCGGAGCCCAGAGAGGGCAAGTCGCTGTCCCAAGGCCACACAGCAGGGTGCTTGCCCAGGTCCCTCCTGCGGTTTTGTGCGGTGTTCAGACTGCTCCAGCGTTCCTTAGCGGAGCTCAGCAGATTTCATTCCCACCAGAGTCCCAGGAAGCAGGCAGAGCTGGGGGGGGGCAGGTCTGAAAGCACCGTGATGACGACGCCAAGGGTATCTGGAGCCAAGGCTGACGGATCCCGAGGGCTCCCTGTCGGCAGAGTCTCTGTCAATGCCCACAGCCTTGAAGACGTCACTTCCTGTTTACTGGTGAGAGGCCCTCCAGGGGTCTCACGACACACGTGGCCAACGGCTGCAGAGCGCCCGGAAAACGGGGGCTCCCCCTCCACGAGGAGGGTCCAGGGCTCTGAGGCAGCAGGCTTCCTGGGCCCACTCTGGCTGGCTGGTCCGTCCTGGCCCCAGAATTGGGGTGGAGAGGGGTCAGCGGGATGCAGCCGGGAAGGGCAGCAGTGAGAGTGCGGGGCAGAGGGAGCCTCGGGGCGCGGAGCGTGAGTTCCGGCGCGGACATCCAGACTTGAGCCGTTGGTGGCCCATCCGGCCTCCCCTGAAGCCAGGCGTCGAGGCAGAGGGGAGGGTGAGAAGCCCAGGGCAAACGTGTGGAAGCTTTTGCCAAACTCTCAAGGTGATGACCAGCCACGAGCCTGGTGCTGTGCCGTTGAGAGCTGGGGGTGGGGAGGAGGAAGGCCAGGGGGCAAGTGGTCCTGCCCCACAGGAGCTCTCTGTCAAGGAGCTGCCTATCAACACACACGCGGGTGTGGACGTGCAGGTGCTCTTGCTGTGTGCCACGTGGTGCACCTGCTGTGTGCTACTGGGGCTCCCACTGGGTGTCACGTGGTGCTCCCGCTGTGTGCCACGGACTTCTGTGTGCCATGTGGTGCACCTGCTGTGTGCTACTGGGGCTCCCACTGGGTGCCACGTGGTGCTCCCGCTGTGTGCCACGGACTTTTGTGTGCCATGTGGTGCACCTGCTGTGTGCTACTGGGGCTCCCACTGGGTGTCACGTGGTGCTCCTGCTGTGTG